GGGGGGGAGGGGGGCAATCGCCTGCAGCGCACGGCAATAGGATGCACTGCAACTGCTGCAGCCCCTGCACCCTCTGCAACCACTGCAGCCCCTGCACCTGCTGCAGTCCCCGCAACCACTGCACCCGCTGCAGCCCCTGCACCCGCTGCAACCGCTGCACCCGCTGCAACCGCTGCAGCTGCTGCACCCACTGCAACCGCTGCAGCCCCTGCACCTGCTGCAACAGCTGCACCCGCTGCACCCGCTGCAGCCCCTGCACCCGTTGCAGCCCCTGCAGTGCAACCTCTGCAACTGCTGCAACCACTGCTCTGCGCAGCAAGACGCTGCAGCGTGTCAGGCTGGGTCGCAAACGGTCCCCTGCAGCTGCGGGGCAGACGCTGCATGTGGAGAGCCATGCTGCGGTGCACGCCTGGTGCAGCCATGGGAGTGGTCCACCGCACTGCAAATGCAACGCTGCAGTGCAGTCTGGGCACAGCAGTCAAAATGCAACACAAACGCAGTGTTGCAGCGCAATTCCTGGTGCTGCTGCAATGGAAATACAACGCTGCAGTTCAAGTGCTATGCTGCAATGCAAATGCAGTGCTGCAGTGCAACCCTGACGCTGCAGTGCAAATTCCAGTCCTTCAAAGGCCTGCCTGGAAAGGCAGCGCTGCAGCACTGTGTTGCAGCCGCAGCACAATCCTGGTGCCGCCACGCAAATGCAACCCTGGCAATGCAACTCAAATGCAGCGCTGCAGCTGCAGAGCCCTGTTGTAGATGCAGCACCAGACTGGCTCTGCAATGCAAGTGCAGTGCTGCAAGTCAATCCCGGTGCTGCAGCACAAACGCAGTGTCGCAGTGCAATTCCTGGTGCTGCTGCAATGGAAATACAACGCTGCAGTTCAAGTGCTATGCTGCAATGCAAATGCAGTGCTGCAGTGCAACCCTGACGCTGCAGTGCAAATGCAGCACTGCAGCACAAATCCCAGTCCTTCAGTGGAAATGCAGCGCTGCAGCACCATGTTGCAGCCGCAGCACCATCCTGGTGCCACAACACAATCGCAACCCTGGCACCGCCACACAAATGCAGCGCTGCAGCTGCAGTGCCCCGCTGCAGCACAAACCTCCCGGCACCGTGACGCTGCAGCCCCGCAAACCCCGCGCCCCCCCATGAAACACTGCGCTGCAAAATTACAAAAAAACTCACCAAACAGCGCAGAAAAGTGGCTAAAACTGTTGTTACAGCAAAAGGGGGGGGGTAAAAAATGAGATTTGGGAGCGGCAGGAGGAGGGAAGTGGAGCCACGTCACCAAGGGCCACCCGCACCCTCGTCAGGCCCCGGGCATGGGGGCAGTGAGGTAGGTGGGTCTCCAAAATTTAAGGCCGGTGCTGGCAGTGATGAATAAATAACATTAAAAAGGGGGGGGGGGGGGG